TGGCCAAACTCAGGCAGATGTCATCGGGGAAGTCATGTCGCACAGCCTGACAAACACTGACAGGCACGACAAGCGTAGGTAACACTGTACAACTAACTGGTGCTAAGTTGAAACTCTGACTATGAGCGCGGCACTTGCAATCAACGGCTGCCGACATGGCTATGGTAAATCAGCCGCAACCACTCGGAACTTGGCTGCAGTTCATCAACGCTTGTGGCTAGCGCCTGGCAGGCACTTCAGATACTTTTATCACAGCTGCCACGCATCGTTGGGCTCAAACAAAAGGCAAATGCAAAACGAATGCACTCACTTTCTGTTGCTGTCGCTGTGCACTCAAACGTGCGCTGCGAACAGTGAAGCATACCAAGCGTGGTCAGCTAGAGCGCAGCCAAAGGGCGACTCCCATGTATGCCTGAATTGCGGCAACAAATTATTAGCAGTAGCAGTAACAATTTGTTGTAGCTAGAGTAGCAGTAGCGATAGCTGTTGCCGGGTAGTTGCAACGAGTTGCGAGGAGTAGTAGCGTGAACACGGCAAAGTAGCGAGTATTTGTTATGTTAGGCAGCAGTAACAGATGGATCTCAAGACTAGAAGTAACGAGTAGCAGTAGAGTGCTTGTAACGAGTGGAAGTACTCGATAAAGTAGCGAGAGGTAATGGCATAACATAAATGCCAAAGTAGATCGTAGAGAGCATTAGTCTTGCTTGTAACGAGTAGCAATAAAAAGTAACAGCAGCAAAAGTAACGATGACATTGACATTGACACAAGCAGTTTTAATGAGAATCAATAGCGAGTAGTAGTCCCATATGAAATAGCGATTAGAAGGAACGAGTTGGAGTAACGAACTTATGAGATATATTACATAATAGCAACGAGTAGGAGTACCAACGAGAATATTATTAAGCTAATGTCACGAGAATGCCTAATCAAGTGACATTAACTTAAAGAGATTGGCAGACGACGAACTGATAAGTATAAATAGCGAGTAGCGAGTAGCACATCAATGTGAACGGCAAAAGCAACGAGTGAGTTGAAGAGCTATAAACACGAATCCAAATATGTTGTAATCACATGAAGCGAGTAGCTCCACACTTGCACTTGCAACAACGAGCAGCGAGTAGAAACCTTCGACTTAATGTAACGAGAATCGAGCAGATTTAGTGAGCAGCGAGTGGTAATAATTTGAACTAGCGAATACAAACTGCAGTTGCAAATGCGACAGCAACAAACTCTGCAGTGTCCGTCCGTTCGTTTGTGGTAAGCATTTCAATAATTCACTCTGTCTGTCCATTTGCACTGCGGCTCAAGGACAACAACAACAACGTATTTGGGTTGTTCTTTGGCCAGTTTGTTTGCTCAATTGTTCAACCAGTGTAAATAAAACGTAGCACTTCCGTTTCATGCGCCATATTGTTTGCCCCCGATTGCCATTGAGCAATTTTTCGTATGTTTTCAGCATTCAGCATTCGTTTTTGCATTTGCATTTGTTTTCCAAATTGCACTCGGTACTCAATACTCGATACTTTTGCTGTGGTTTATTAATTTATAAATGCAGCGTGGCATGACAAGGCGTTGAATTAATTCACAGCTAAGGACTATCTATCGATTGGATGACAGATAGTCCAGTGCTTGCCCGCACACTCCAGAGCAAGAATTTATTTATATTTTGCATCAGCTTGTGGACCGAAAAATAAATGAAATTTCCATAGAATCTACGACAGGCCTCACCAACTAATTAGGGCTGCCAGCTAAGACGCAGCCCGTTTTGGCCCGTTGCCAACAACCTGTCGCAAAAAAATCACAAGCCAAAAAAAGTTGATGAAAAACGAAAAGGGTCACAAGTGAAAATAACAAATGGCTGACTGAAAAAGTAACTAATGAAAAGCAGTCGACTATCGAAATGGCCAGACTCGAAGATACCCCGAACAGAGTTGACTTTCTTGATGCTAAAAAGTATGTTAAATTGTGCGCGAATAAAGATTAAAGATTGCCTTAAAATAGCTGCATGCCAGACTTGCCAGCTTTGAGCTCAACTAGGCTATGCTCAGCTGCAGAAGGCGCAGTTACAGGGTATACAAAAACTAGAAACTAAAAACAAAATAAAAAAACAGGGGGGGGGGGGCAGAAAGGGGCGCAAACAGCAGGACCGCCGGCGGGAAGTGGGTCAGCTGAGCTCGTGGCTGCGGTGTTGACGGCGCCGCATGTTGGCAACATGTCAAACATGTTAGGTAAACACCCACACACACGCACACGCACACACACACACACACACCTACACAGAAAATGGCATACATGCATCAAAGTAATTAATATCCCTTCAAATGTTACATGCACTAATTACAACAACAACTTGAACAACAACTACAACAACGACAACAACAACAGCAGCAGCAGCATCCGAGTAATATGAGACGAAATTATAAAACCAGGCTAACAACATGCCAGCTGGAAATTCGGTGCTCCCTTGGCTAGTCGGGCGCCCACTTGACGACCTTGGGCATGTCAGCTCATGCTTGCCCAACGACCTAAATACCCAAACCAAAAGATCGTTTGTTGTCAAGTGTGTGCACTTAAGAACTAGCGAATGCTTGAAGACAATGCTGCTGACATGTCGTGCAGTTGGTCATGCAGGACGGGCAGCAAGACAGGTCATCAAGCCAGTCTTGCATGCCAGAGAGTTTCAGTTAACAGTTAATTGTAAGAACTTAAAAACTAGCGAATGCTTGAAGACAATGCTGCTGACATGTCCTGCAGTTGGTCATGCAGGACATGCAGCAAGACATGTCATCAAGACAGTCTTGCATGCCAGAGAATTTCAGTTAACAGTCAATTGTAAGAACTTAAGAGCTAGCGTATGCTTGAAGACAATGCTGCTGACATGTCCTGCAGTTGGTCATGCAGGACAGGCAGCACGACATGCCATCAAGCCAGTCTTGCATGCCAGAGAATATCAGTTAACAGTCAATTGTAAGAACTTAAAAACTAGCGAATGCTTGAAGATAATGCTGCTGACATGTCCTGCAGTTGGTTATGCAGGACATGCAGCAAGACATGTCATCAAGCCAGTCTTGCATGCCAGAGAATTGAAGTTAACAAATTTCCAACTGGGCTATGACGAAAATGTTGTTTGTGTTGCCTTTTTTGCCAAGGTCAGTTCAGCCCAGCAAATTTCAGCTCTGGCTGCTGTGCATTCTGTTGTGTGCAGCCCACGGCACACATGGGGCATGCCCCCAAATGCAACGCTCACTTGGCTTAAAAACTCGTGTCACTCAAGCAAGCAAAAAAAAAAAGGAAAAACAAGATGACGAAAACAACTTTCAATTAGGCGCAACTGAGCAACCGCCATGAAGCTTGCCACATGCCACAGCAGCGACAGCATTATCGCCGCTGTGATTGCATGGGGCGTGGCCACGCCCACATTATTAATTGAAGAGTCTCAGTGCATAAAAAAACATTTACATTTAATCAGCAATGTGCAATCTGCAATCAGCAATCAGGAGTCGGCTGTCGCCTGCGACAACATTGCGTATACGTAACGTCGCATCACGCAGCGGCTCACATTGCGTATACGCGATGTAAATAACCGATAGCAGCCCGACGTCCTCAAGGAGCAGTCGCAGCCGCAGCAGCAGCGGCAGCAGCAGCTCCGCTTGTCGATTTAATTAATTTGTCATCATTTATTATGCCAAAATAAAAATGCAAGGGGTGCGTGCGGCAGGGGCTGATATAGTGGGGGAGGGATGGCAAACGCACTGAGGAAATGCTGCAAATGCGCGTAAACGACTGTGTGATACCCTTCATTTAACAAATCTTATAGCTTGATTCCACTATGCTCAAAATATGTCAAATTTTTTCAAATTTCACATTCGGCACTTTCATTGGCAAATGTCAGTTGTCAGTAATATGTAAATGACAAATGTGAAGAATGTGGTTTCTGATGGAAAAACGTTATGTCACATTCGCAAAATATATAGGAAATGTTGACAGTGTCTTGATGTATTAACTTTGGACCTCAGACTATACAACATTAGGCTAAGTAGCTGCACGTGGCCCATATACCCGTTTGTTTCATTTGTGTAGAGGGTATAACAAACTGCTGACTGCTGATGGCGGCACAAATGTCAGCAGTTGTTGCAGTCTACGAGGCAATAATGCACCAGCAGCAGCAGCAACAACAATAACACTCGGTGAAGAAATTGCTTTTTAACCAACACAAGCACGTAGAGACAAAACAGGTGAAGGGAGCGAGGAGGGTGGAGAGCAACTGAGAGAGGGGGGGCAATGTAAACTATAAGTGCGTGATGGGGTTGAGGGGCTGGCAAAGTTCAGGTCAGAGTTTTCACCTGCCGCTACGGCGGCGGTTCTTAAGTGTGTGCAGCAGCCAGGACATGCACATGTGGCAGGTAGACAGACAGCTAAAGAGGGGCAGAGAGTGGGGGTAGGGGGAAGGCCGAAGGGGGGGTCGCAGCCTGGCAAACGGTGACTGACGGCTGGCACACGGGTTTCAATTTACATTTACGTTGATTTTTGTTAAATTGAGTTTGACTTTGGCTGTCGTTACGACGACAAAAACAACAAAAACAACAACAAAAGCAACAATTACAACAACAACAAAGGGAGACAGCAGAAAATATCAACATTGACACGAAACACAAATGGGTTATAAGAAGCGCAAAAAGAGAACGAACTGAAGGCGAAGGGTCAATTAGGCTTAAGCAGATGCGGGTTAGGTTGCGCAGGGTCTAGAAAGATAGTCTAATTCCACGCTTAACATTTCCAACATTTTTGCGAATGTGAAATATGTTGCCTGGCCGTATTTTCTCATAAGAAAACACATTCTTCACATTTGCTGAAAATGTTGACAAACGCCGCGAGTAATTCGTGTGTTTTGCGATAATTTATCGAATTTCGTATCGATGTCATGAGAAATATAAAAGCATCGTTCGCACAAGCAGCTGATATAGCAAATTATAATTTTACTATTGAAAGAACGAAATATAAAGCTTCTTGGTGGTGAGACCGACTGCTCCTCCGATGCGAATCCGTCAAAATAAAACAAAAGACAACTAAACAAAAGTTGAAAGCGATACGCTAACTCCTGCGCTCCGGGGCATGATTGAAGATTACCTTCACGATTGATGGGAACATTCTCTCAGAATATATATATACACATTACAGCTGGAGTTTGGCTATCCTGAACGGCTCCTCGTCATTTTGCAGCTTGGCATTTGTCATGTTCTCGTCGAGCTGCTCAAAGTAGAGCGTCTCGATGGTCTGCAGGGCACCCAGCCAGATGGCACGCGACTTGCTGCAGTGCTCGTCGAATAGCTGGCGCAGCAGCTGGAAGCTGTGCTTGGCCAACAGCTTGCGATGGGCCAGATCGTGCTCCAGATTTGATTTCCAGGCGGGCAGCAGGCGACGCTGGCAGCAACAGCTGTGGCATTTGGCAAGCATGCGGCTAAATCTCTTGCCCAGCTGCTGCTCCAGCTGTTTGTCCAGCAGCTCGATGCGGCGACGCAGCTCCAGCTCCAGCTGAGCGTGCTGGTCGCGCAGCAGCAGCGGCTCGAAGAGCCGGCCAAACAGGCGGCAGGGCAGCCTGGCCAGCGGCTCTACGGCCAGCTGCAGCTCGTGACGCCAGCGCAGGCAGCTGCGGCTGCACGGGCCGCCAGCCGGGCACAGGCTCGAATCGCTGGCCGAAGCATCCGTATCCCTTGGATGCACATTGGCCATCGCCTCGGCATCCAGCCAATTGGACTCGGCCAGCAGCTGCAGCACCTCGTGCGCAGCGCTCAGCATTTGGCATTGCAGCCGCTTTAGCTGGCGCTCCCGCTGCTTGGCCACGAGCAGCTTGCGCTCCATGAGCGCATTCTCCACCAGCAGCTGGGGACGCGGTCCGCAGTCGCAGCTTTCACTGCCCATCAACAGCTGCTGGAATATGTTGCGCTCCTCGTTCAGCTCCTGCTCCGACAGCTGCAGCTGCTCGCAGCCGAGCAGACGATCCTCCCGCTTTCGGTTACGGTTGCGCTGGCGACGCTGCCGGCGCCGCTTCAGCTGGCGCTTGTTTCGGCTGAGCAGCGCTTGTCGGTTCGGATCGTGACGACGCGGTGTCGACATCGGCTCCGTTTGGGTATACTGCGAGCAGCTGTGCGCCGTGCTATCCTGCTCCTCCTCCTCCTCCTGCTGCAGAGTCTGGCGTTTGCTGCGCACGCGTCGCGGCCAATGATGGCGCATGGTTATGGCACGCGGTCTCGGCTGCACTTGCTCCACCTGCTGTTGCTCCCCCAACTTGTACAAGCTCTCATCTCCGAACACCGCCATGCAGCTAATATTGCTGCTGGTGTCCAGCTGTTCCGGCTCCATGAAGCGCACGTAACGCTCCCGCCTGGTGAGCTGCGGCTTCACCATGAAGTACTCGTTGCTGGAGTTCTCGTGCGGCTGCAGCTGCTGCTGCATATACTCCTTCAGCCGGCGGCGTATTGCTGTATTCGAGGAGTTCGGCGATTCGCTGGAGCTGCAACGCTTGCATATCGTCTCCTGCGACTGGGATTGCGGCATGCGGTTCTTCTCGAACTGAATGAAGCGCTTCATTAGCGGCGACCACATGCGTTGGCATTTGGCGGATCCGCTGGGTGACTTGCCCGCCTTGGAGCTGCGCATCGCTTTGTTGGCCTTCTTTTTGGCCTCGTCCATTTGATGCATGCGCCAGGCGAACCTGATGAACTCTGGCACGGAGCTGGCGCCGCTGGCGAGCATTCCGCTCTCACCCTTGCTGAGCTCCAGCTGGCCGAGCGCATCCACCTCGCTGCGGCTGTGCGCCTGGGTCAGCCATTCGAGCATGTCGCAACGCTCCTGGATTTCCAGCTCCAGTTGACGTTTCTCCACATCGATGGTCTGCACCTTCTGCTCGGCCAACTGCAGTCGCTGGCGCTGCTCTTCAATGTGCTGCAGGAAGCACTCCCTGGTATACAGCTGCAGCTCCATGCGCTTGGCATTGTCCAGCTCCGCTCGCGACGGCGACGCGCCTGGAGACACAACCGGGGATGGGGTTGCGGGCGCCGGGCTTGGACATGGGCTTGGGGACGAGAGGTTCTGGATGGGGCTCTGCTTGCATGCAAATCGTGTATTCGTTTTTATGGTCACCCTGGCCATTTGCTGGCTTCGCTTCGACCAGCTGCTGTCGCCGCCTAAATCCTCGTCCAGCATCTGCATCTCGACTGGTAGCGGGCCTTCGTCCACCTTCCGGCCGAGCTGTTGACTCCAGATGGAACGCTTTTTCGTCTCCGCTTTGCCCCCTCGCTTCGCCAGCTGCTGGTCGCGTGCTTCGATTAACTTTCTTTCCAGCTCCTCGCTCTTGCGCCGAATGCGCTCCTCCTGCTCCAGCTGACGCTTCTTTCGCTCCAGCTCCTGCTCGGCCTGCTGGAGGTCATGCCCTCTGACCGTATCCCGCATTTTCTGTTCACCCTGCGCCATTATCTTGGCTGTGGATTGCTGCTCCTTTCGTTCCTGCGCCCTTGGCTGCTTTTTGCGCTTCCTCCGCTCGGCTCTGGCTTCCTCTACTAGGTGCGTACCCGCCGTTCCCTCCCGCCACTCCAGCTCTTTTTGTTTCGTCTCGAGCTCCTCCCACCGCTGTCGCTCGCGACGATCGTCCACTGCCTTGCACTTCAGCCTGAAGGAGTCTCTCCGCTCCTTGCGCTCCACTGCCTCCGCCTCCATCACAATTGGACGACAGCTCTGCTCCAGCCGCAATCGCTGTGCCCGCATCTCCTTCTCGCGACGATCCACCTCAACGGCCAGTCTTTCGCGCTGGCGCTGCGTGAACAGACGCTGCTCGCTTTTGCGGGTCTCGCGCAGAATGCGCTCGTGCTCGCGCTGCTCGTGCACCCTGATCAGCTGCTCCTCGTGCTCCTTCTGCTTGCGCTGGCGCTCCAGCACCAGGCGCTGCTCTTCGCGCTGCTTCCCCTCGGCCTCGCGCGCCCTCTGTCGCTCGCGTTCCCGCTCCCGTTGCATGCGCTCCACCCGCTGCTGTTCCTTGCGCCGCTCTATCTCCAACATTTTGCGTTCCCGCTCCGATGCCGCCGCCTGCACCGGACTGTGCAGCTCTCTGCGCACGCCCCTTTTGCCAGCGCCTTTCACGTGTTGATCGTCTGCCTCCTCCTCAAGATCGCTTTCCGGCCGCCGGAAGTTCATTTTCTTGTACAGCTCCACCAATGGCTTCTGCTTACCCCTCTGGCTGCTGCCGGTCGACCTTGGGCCGGAGGTAGGCGAAGGTTTTTGTGTGGTTGCGGGCTTGGTTGATGCAGGCGAGGGTTTAGTTGTAGGTGCAGGTGTGGGGTTAGGTGCAGGCGGAGGAGTAGGCGTAAGTGAAGGTGCAGGAGCAGGAGCAGGTGCGGGAGCAGGTGGAGGCGCAGCTGTGGATCTTCCAGCAAATGTGGGCTTGACTTCGGTTTTGTGTGCAGCCGACGTGGGCGTGGGCGTGGGCGATCGCGTGCCCGTGGGTCTAGGCGTGGCCGGAGCTCTGCTCTTGGCCGTGCGCTGCGATGTGCCCGAGATGAGTTGATGGTGCCAGAGCTTGCGTTCGACTTTCTCCAGTTTCTTCACCTGATCCTTGGACATCTGCCCTGCCCTGCGCCTGCTGTCTAGGTCCCCATTATCGGCCTCCACGTGCAGCGCCGGCAGCTGCGGCCCCACAACGGGCACGTCAGGCGGCATACACACGCTGGAGGGATCCGGTGCGCGCAGCTCCAACCGACTGCAGACATGACCATCAGCGGGCATTTTCTCGCCCCGTTCAGCCCTTGCCACCGGCTTCCACGCTTGGAGCTTCTTGCGACGCGCATCGTATTGCTCGAGCACATTGCGCAAATCCCGATTGCAGTTGACGATATCCGTGAAGGGATAGCTCAGCCGGCCAGCCTCCTTCAGCTGGCAGTGCATCAGCGTGACAAGGCAGTTGCGTGCCGTCTTCTCCTCCTTGGTGGTGCGCGAGAAGATGCCCAGCCACTTGGGGCACAGCTCCCGCTCCGCGGCACAGCTATTCAGCTGGCTCAGCTCCTTGATAAGCTCCATTTGCTGCGCAAAGTGCCGATCCATTTGGTCGTCCGAGATGCTGTGGGTCACATTTGTCCGCACCAGGCGTATTGCCTGGCCTGCGGCGTTGTTGTTGATGTTGTTGTTGGTTTTCTTAGACATTTGTAAAATAATTTGATTTGCCGAAATGTTGTCTACACGTTCAGGATCTAGTTTCATAAATTTTGTTCGCGCCGCTTTTTCCTTTTATTCTCACTCTATAACCGAAATAAAACCTAAATCTTCTATCAAATATATTGTATTAAAATTTTGCTGCGTCGCCTTTTGCTTTTTGATTGCCGAAATGTATTTCTTTTTCCCGGAATATGCTCTGCTGAAGCCGAAGTTTCAGTAGATATATATTCTTTAATTGATTTCTGTTGCGCCTATATTTTCTGGTTAAAAACTGAAATATGTTCTGAAATTTCAGAGAAAATCGATTTCTCTTTCGTATCTATCTCGATGGCCAAATTATATTCCTCTCAACTTTTCAGAACATATGTATGTTTTATTTCAATTGTGTGCCGCGCTTCTGCCTTTGATCGATATTCTCTACAGGACCTCTTATTGTCGGGCGTTGAATTTTATTTTTCTCAATTTATCGTTTACAGTTCGAGAGCTATTCACAAACTGAACACTACGCAGGCACGACACCTTGAGAAAACCGAAACAGGCCGCTCAGCGCCTACTCCTAAACGACTCGGAATCGATTTACAAAATCTTCGAAACAAATTTGTGAAAAGTTCAGTTTTAATTGCAGAATTTATTTTACTGTCACAACGTTAAGGGTATTCCCTTAAATATTGTCTAACAATTTTTGGGAAAAATATAGAGCTTTGCTTCCCTCCCAGCCCATACCCAAAAAAAAAAAAAAACTATTCAAATACGATTATGAAAATGTTCAAATGAAAAATGATAGACATATTGTTTTGCATAATAATACATTCGGGGTATTCCCTTATATATTGAAACTGTCTGGAAATATATTTGAAAATTTCTTGGAAAATTTAGAAAGTCTTGTGGGCTTTCCTTTCCATCCCATAACCAAAGAACTATTCAAGTACGAATATGAAAATGTTCAATTAAAATATGTAGACATTATTTCCCATGATAATACATTCAAGGGTATTCCCCAAGTTGTATATTAACATGAAGCTCAAACTATTTGAAATATATTGTATATATAATGTGAACAAATTTTCGATTAATTCATGGCCTTCCTTCGCATACCAGACTCCATGCTATCTGCTGTCTAGTGAAGCAATTATTTGGGTTAATGGAAACTTGATGTGAGAAGCTCGCAGAGGGGCCACGCCCATGGGCAGAGCGCGTGCGGCAGTGGCTTGAGCTCATGGCTCACAAATTGATGGCCGGAGGATTAATAAATGCGTTTAATGTGCTAAACGAAATTAATAAAGTGCTAAAAGTTTGAGCCCGAAATGTCTTAGGCGGGCATTAGGCGGGGCCACGCCCAGCCGACGTCCATCATTGTTCAGAGCTGGGCTGGGCAGAGGGGCGCGCCCACAAACACACACACACACACACACACACACACACACACACACACACACACACACACACACACGGCTATGGACTGTGTGCATGTCAATTATGACGCCCATTTCAAGGGAGCGTGGGCGTGATGTGTCGAGCATTTCTAAACGTTTTCATTATAATTACAATATTATTATTATCGTTGGCTGCAGACAGGCGCGCACACACACACACACACACCCGCACACACACTAATTGAGTGTTGGCGATTTTGATAATAATTAATAATGCCTTTTATCCCTTTTTGTGCCATCATCCGTTTAACCGATTTTGAAAGCCGCACTAATGCCGCTTGTTTCGTTTGCGACTTGTTTTTTATACCCTGCAAATGCCCAAAGAGGGTATCTTGGCAGCCGAAGGCCTATTCAACTCGATTTTGACAACTATTCGTGCTAGAGACTAGTAATTTTGGAACGTAGCTCCATCTATTGCCTATGTTGAACTAGTTTGTTAACATTCATCGATAAACTTGCGCGTGATATCGATAAAAATCGATCATCTGTTGGCATAGCTCGAGTATTATAAGAGCTGGGTACACCAAATTTGGTATATAGACTCTTTTTTAGTATGCACAGCCTAGGAATATTTCACTTTTTGGATATCAGCCCCCGCGACAGCATGAACTGGAAATAACTCATTTTCAAAGGTAGCGCCTTGGTCTGTACACACTTTTTCTGAAGTTTTCATAAAGATCGGACCTTAAGCTCCGAAGTTACTCAATTACGCATTTCTTGGCTAAGGGAAGAAGCAGAGCCGCAGCGTTGACTGCGCAGTTAGCCGCGGGACCTAGGGTAACTTTCGGTCGGGCACTTGTGTCAGAAGCTTTGCGAAAACTTATCGAAAGTTTGGGCAGCAGCCAGGGCCTGCATGCAATTGGGCATAGCTCTTGAGCGTCGCAAATCGCGGCGGCACAAAGTTTGGCCCAACAAATTGAAGGGCATTCAATTGGACATCTAGTCGTGAGTCATTGCGAGTGACCCCTTCAGGCAAATGCTAGTGTGCCAGGTCCAACAACAACAATAACAGCCGAGCGTCAATTGACTTCGAGTCCCGTGTTCAAAGCGAGCCCCAAGCCGAACGAATGCCTAAGCCCTTTTTGTATACCCTAACGAAAAGCAGTCCAAGGGGCATGTTGTGTGTGAAGGCACAGAACTTTCAGCTCTAAAGCACTTTCCTTCAGATACAGGGTATATCTTAGCAAGACACTCGAAATGAATTCCTACCGAAAAACATTTGCTTGTGGCCCAGGGTAGCCGAGGCTAGCGACCATTCAAGTCGTTGTCTTTTGTTCCTCAACTGATTTATTTGATTTGATAAGTCTTGACGCAAATGTGTTTCATTTACCTACACTCATAGCACACTTTCAACTGACTTTCAAACGCCGATGCCGACGCCGACCCAAGAACGGACGAGTTGGATGAATGGATGAATAAGCGAGTGGACAAGACGGGGCCGAGTTGGCTTCTAGGGTCTGTCTAGGCCTGTGCCCGGGTCTGTCTGTGTTCTTTGCCCTTTTCATTCAAGTTGTTGCAAACAATTTGAAGCCAAGTGATAGGGTCAAAGGGTCAGGGGCAGCGCAGCCTTTTTGGTCATTCGATACGGCGCTCATTATATACATATATATATATATTTGGTGTATGCCCCATTTGAATTCCCCAAGTAGAGCATTTGGGTCTTAAAATAGAGCAATAAACGCATTTCGGTCAACATGTGTTGATATATTATGTTGTAGTCTTCTTTTTTTTTGGGCCTATCGATAAATATCGATTTTAAGTAATGCTCGAAGGCCTAGATACACCAAACCTGGGCTGTAGCTTCTCGCATTGTATATGGAGATAGGGAACATTTCACTTTGCAGATATCCTGGCCATTTTTCATCAATATCGGACCGTACCGAGCGCAATAATGTTGTATTTATTGCCCACATTAGAGCATACAGCATTCGTATAGTTCACATGAGACTTTCTTGGCGCAGCGAAAAGGTCAACAGTGGCTGGGATCATAGACACACATTCAGAAAACAAGCAAGAGGTTCTAGTCGGGAGCTCCCGACTAGGGGATATCCTGAACCCTCTTCTTCTAACACCAAATGCATATATATATTCTATTTTAGAAGCTATATGTTAAGTTTGGTGACTCTAGCTCTTATTATTTACCAAAATTTCCCAAAAAACAGGACATCGATATCGATTTTTACCGATTGCTTGGAAGCGGAGTAAGTTATCGATTATCGGAAACAAAATCGATCTGCGCGGGAACTAGGAGCACCTACACCTAAAATCTCTAGCTCTTATAGGTTCTAAGATCCTTGCGTTCATACATACGGACGGACGGACAGACAGACGGGCATGGCTAGATCGACTCGGCTATTGATGCTGATCAAAAATATATATACTTTATGGGGTCGGAGATCCTTCCTTCTGCCTGTTACATACATTTTGATTTTGCACAAATACAATATACCCTTATACCCATTTTGAATGGGTTCAGGGTATAGAAACCACACACATTTAAGCGATTGACATTGATTATGCGTTAAATGGAAAGCACAAAAACTGTCCACGGTTTGGCCAGCTATGCTCAAGACCACATCTGGCCCAACTAATTAGCGTGAATTATGATAGTTTGATTAGAGGATGGGTGACAGCTTGAAACTGAGCGGGCCAAATTTGAAATCCAGGCGAGCTGTTGAGCGCCGTATCAATGGGCGTTACAGTATTGTTATCGTTATCGTTATCGATATGTTTTGTTTAGCCGAAAGGCGACTTTGATTGATTGAGCCGACACACAAACACACACAGACAGACAAAGAGACAGCGCCTGCTTATCCCAGTTAAGACGGAGCCAGGCATATCATGTGGACGCTGGTCAACGTCGTTGATCCACAACTTTATGAGCCCCCCCCCCCCCTCGGCTTGTTGTTGTGCTTTTTCTTTTTAACTTGACATTTATCGCTTTATACGCATTTCCTTTTCGCCTGCCTGCCTGCCTGTCAGTCAGCTTGTCCACCTCCATCTCCATCTCCATCTCAGCATCCCCCTTGGTCAGGTCAGCTCGTTCAGTCCGCCTGTTAGTTTGACATGTTTGTTATGTTTATAGAACGATATATTTACCAACTTAATTGGTAGTTATAGACGTTTCAAATAAAATACCAAGGCGCACAGCACAAATTGTCGGCCCAAAATAGACTTAACGCAGAAATAAACGGAGTGCAGGTATGGGAAGGTGTGGAAGGTAAGACAATATGACCCGACTGCTTCGTCTGGTCATATTTCGATAAGTCGATTACACTTTTAATCAATATATCGATATTTTATGAGTTTTTTACAATCTTTTCTTCTATCCATTTCGATCGATATTTATAAATATCGATATAGCAATTAATATCGATTGGAATGAATTGAACAAAATATTGTAGAAAACTCATAATATATCGATATTTTGATTAAAAGTGTAATCGACTTATCGAAATATGACCAGACGAAGCAGTCGGATACGCAGCCCCTATTCAAAATATAGACTTATCGATCAATAATGCTAGCGACTTATCGATCGGTGTCTTAGTGTCATATTAATGCAGACTTAATATGAAACACCTAAAAGATATTCAACAGATAAACATCGATTGTTTTGGTTATTGGATAGTGAATAATATACAAAACTAATAGTTTCGATATAACGATAAATAATGTTATCGGTTTATCGAAAAATCAATTAATTCTTTACGCAGCCTTCAGTCAAATTAAGGATATACCGATCAACAATGTTATCGGCTTATCGATTGTTCTTTATCGATTCTTTGATTCAATATTATTATCCTATTATTAAATACACCGTTATATCGAAATATCGATTTTTCCGATATTATGTTTTATGGAATTCCCTGCTTAAAATCTAGAAATATCTCAAATTACATTAAAAATAAAGCTTGAAGATTCAACTAATGTAATGATACTTGTCAAATAAATATTTATCGATATAACGATAAATGCCAAATGCAGCCCTAGTCCATTCGGTGCACATTTTTCGAATGAGCTTCTGTTCAGCTTAGGCTCGCCCCACCCTGGCGCCCAAACCCTTTACAGGCTCTGAACCGGTCCCGGCCTGAAACTGGCTAAGCTTTTCCCCTGATACCTTTGCGGCACAGCTGTAGAGGCAGGCAAATGATTCTCATTGTCCGTTTTATGTTTCATTGTTGTCATTGGCGTGTTGTTTGCGTGTGTGTGTGTGTTGTTGTTCTTAAATTTTGTATTTGTACTAGTGACTGCATGTGGCATTTTTCACAGCGGCTGTTTAATTGATGCGCTCCGTTCTTGAACTCATAAATTTCACTTGTCTTTCTCTACCTCTCTCTCTCTCTCTCGCTTTCATTTCTCTGTTACAACAATAAAAATCAAATTTAATACAAAATTAAATCAAGTTTGTTCGGCTTCCTTCAGCTGAAGCTTCATTTGCTGACGTTGCGCCTGCTGTGTCTGTTTGTAGTTTTTTGCTTATATCCTGGAATTTTCAGCAAATGACAAAGGGGCATGCACATTTCTGCCCAAAAACTGTTATGCGAACAGCATCAATCAGCAGCTGCCTCGATATCACAGTTCGAATCAAAAAGAGAGGTTGCTGGTTCGAATCTTAGAATAGGTAGCAACAGGGTATCAGCTAGTCGGGCACTCAGAAGTAAGCGCATATATAAAGCCCCTCGAGACGCTGCTTTAAAACAAAAAACCGAGAGGTTGCTGGTTCGAATCTTCGAATTGAGCTTTGCTAGTTGGGTAACACAGGGTATCAGGTAGTCGTGCATTGCCCTCAGTTTTTTTTTATAATTTTCTTTCATTGTGGCAAGTTGTAGCCGCAGCTGGCACGAAAAATTTCAACTTTTGGCCAAGTCTTCGCTTGTTTCTCTGACTCTGACTGTCTGTGTGTGTGTGTGAGAGTGTGAGTGTGTGTGTGTGAGTGTCTGTATCTTATTTAATTTGGCAGACTGTGATGAGAGAAGCGAAGTGTGTTGAGCATAAGATGCCGCCGCATGTTCGTTGACTTTATTTGCTGTGTGTAATAAAATTAAAGCCCTTTAGCTATTGTACTTTGGAGGAGCAAAAAAGAAGAGAAGAAAATACAAATGCAAAAGAACAAATTGTAGCCGCACACACACATGAGCAGCAGCCGAGGGGCAGAGGGGAGCAGTTGCAGGAACAGGACGAAGACGAAGACGACGACGTCGACGTCGACGTCGACGACAGCAGCCAGCAGCTTGAAGCGAGCCAACGAGCCATGAATGTTGCTCTTAGTTGTGGATGTGGCCATTAAGTTGGCTTTTTTATAGCCCTAGTTACATACCGGCGACTAGTTGGGCAAGGGGTAAGGGCAAACGGTTGCAAGCAGGGGGGGGGGGGGGGGGGGGGCATAAACATTGAGCTGAAGCATATTGAGAATATTCGCGCTGTTCTTTAGCTAGTTTATATCGTCTTATATCTTCGACTTTGGTAATGAACTCCAGAGTTCAAAAAAGGCGATATACTCTAGATAAACTAGAAGCAAAAGGGTATGCTATTTCTGTGCTAATGCTTGGTAACATACAGCAGGCAGGCTATGCATTGATCAGGGCGACAAGCTGTATGTCTGTCTCACTTGTTTCACTTGAAATCTTAAATATATACTTTCCCATATCATGCATCTTCTTTTTGTCGATATCTCCTCACATTGCCATCATAGCGATAAATATCGGTACTCAGATATGGTTCTTTCAGCATAGCTCCAGGATTATAAGAGCTCCATACGACACAGATTTAACATCATTCACTTTTTTGATTACTTGCGTTCATTCCCCTTAAAATTGGAAGAAACTCGAGCTTGGGTGCATTCAAATTGCATTACGATCGGACTCTAAGCACCGAAGTGGATATTTTCCCATATACCATAAGCTAGCTAGTATATATGACTGTGTGCAGGGTATCTTCTAGTCGAGCACCACATTTGTTATGCCAATCGGTTGAATATTTATCCGTCAGCTGTTTAGAATTGCACACAAATGAGCTGATTTGCCGATTTGCCGATTTGCTGATTCATTGCGATTTCATCGAACTTTCAGCTGGGAATTGCAATTGTCACCTTTCAAATTGCAGCCCTGGTAGCCGCCGCTTCCTGCCCCTGGGGAACATGCCCATGCACATTGTTGTAAATGCATATGAATATACACATTTTCAGGACACATCCCAAGGGAATGGCAAATGCGTGTGCCTACAATAGCAACAGATTGCAAATTAAGCTTATCTCATTTGTGTAGAATAGATAATTTTCATTTTCCATTTTTAATAAGGCTCCCGTTCCCATTGATCCCAGATATCAAATCAGGGCTGAGTAAGAGCTCCATAAGCGGAAGGGTCAAATAATTTATCATCAGAATCGAACATATGAAAAATTGGACATGCACTTGGCAAGCAGATATTAAGGTCCAGCCTAATGGAGCCCTCCCCACCATGACTCTACTCGACCCTATTTAGTCTTACTTAAATAAAAACATTTAATAAACTAACACTTAAGATTATTAAAAAACTTTCAAGTCACGGCTTGACGCAACTGACATATAGTTTGATAAGCTTCGGTGCTTGAAGTCCGATCTAAAGCTAAGGTTGAAGCCAAACGACAAATTAGACATGCCAGGCTCTTATTCCGTCCGAGCTGTGCAAAAAAACCGGGCTGCAAATCGATATTTATCGATTGTTATGCAATTATTATACCCTGAACCCATTCAAAATGGGTAGAAGGGTATATTGTATTTGTACAAAATCCAAATGTATGTAACAGGCAGAAGGAAGCATCTCCGACCCCATAAAGTATATATATTTTTGATCAGCATCAATAGCCGAGTCGATCTAGCCATGTCCGTCTGTCTGTCTGTCTGTCCGTATGTATGAACGCAAGAATATGAGAACCTATAAAAGCTAGAGACTTGAAATTGAATTGATTTTAGATGTAGATGCTTTTAGTTCCCGCGCAGATCGAGTTTGTTTTTGATAATCGATAACTGACTCCGTTTCCAAGCAATCGATAAAAATCGATATACTGTTTTTTGGGCACTTTTGGTAAATAATAAGAGCTAGAGTCACCAAAGTTGACATATAGCTTCTAAAATCGAATATATATATGCATTTGATGTTGGAAGAAGAGGGTTCAGGGTATCCCCTAGTCGGAAGCTCACGACTAGAACCTCTTACTTGTTTCGATTTTGCTTTGCAGCTTGCTGCGCTGAGCCCTAGTCCTACTTAACACTTACACTATTTCAATATATGTATACTAGTTAGGTTGGTACTTACCTCCGCAGTGATCCTTGAAGTCGTCACAGCAGTCGCCCAGCTTGAGGCAGGCGTGATCGCAGTAGCATGGCTTGTCGCTCAGATCCTCGATGATCGCATTGACCGGCGCCTTCTGCACCACGCACGACGAGTCGCGTCCGTTGCAGCAGAGCTGCGCCTCCCGGCACGAGCCGCCGGCGGCCAGCGGCAGCTGCTGCCCCACGCCCAGACACAGGAGCGCGGCCAGCAACAGACCGCCCCTGGCGCCCAGGGGGGCGTGGCGCATGATACGTTGCGACATTGGCGAGTTCTCGATAAACGATTTCAATGAGCTCTAAATATGGATATATATTTTATATGCATGTGACGCACACACAGGCAGTATATGTGTGTGGGTGTGGGTGTGGGTGTGGGTGTGTGTGCGTGTGTGTATGCAAATGCAATTTACGCCCAAAAGCGGAAATTAAAACTAAAATTGAATTATGGCAATTGTGTGTGCCAGCAGAGACCAGAGCCAACTATCGATAGATACATTGTGGTGTTAAGGGGTAGGTGAGGGAGAGGGGTGGAGGGGGTAGAATCGGCTGAAAATCGAGCTGACAGAGCGCAAATACCCTGGACTGAGAGATGGCTGCGGGATGAGCGGCCCAACTGTTCCCGTTCAACTGTTCCCCCACAGTTGGTATATATTCAAGAACACATGGACGGATTTTCAGATGATTCACACTTCTATTTAAAATGAGATTCCAAAGAAACAACTCTTGGAATCAAGAATCTTGAAGCTTAGGAATAAACCTGCATTAAATAAACCTTCCGTATTTGCCAACCGAGTCAGTCAATCAGTCAGTCAATCAGTCAGTAGTCAGTCAGTCGGTCAATCAGTCGTTCAATCAGTCAATCATTCAGTCTGTCAATCAGACAGTCAATCAGACAGTCAATCAGTCAGTCAATCAGTTTTATATATAGAGACTATAACTTCGGTGCTTAAAGTCCGATCTTTATCAACTTTTCACAGCTTAAATATGATGGGTTGCTTAAAAGAAGAAGAGATAGACAGACGGACACTAACAAATCGATTCAGCTCGTCGTCCTGGTCATGAATATATATGTAAAGAGCAGATGTAACGCAAAGGTGGCAACCCTGTCGTTTGCTAGCATTGCTTTGCCCAGGGAATCGAACGAGTTGATCGGAAAGAACCGGCTGGAAAGTCGTAGAAATCGGGCTCAGTTTGTCTTACTGATGCAATGATATGTTTTCTTATTATACTTCGCCAATCCCTGTCTCCCTCAATCCCTTCCATTACTAGATATACCTAGCTGGCAGAGTTGCCAGCCCTACCTAAAGTTTTCGGAGAGGCTTTGATCTCTCTTTTGAAGCACTTTTAACACGTTCAGGTTTTAAGGAATGTGATCCTAAAAGAAGTAAATCTTCGACCGGCTCGACCTTTCTTTGTGACAAAATGCAAATACCCTCGCTCTGGCTGGGGGAAGGGTTGGGCGTAAGGAGAGTATTAGGCCAGAGCAGGCCTTCGATATTGGCAGCATTAGCACAATTTGAACTTCTAGGCGAACAGGCGACTCGATGCAAAGTAGGTCGAGACAAGGTGAACATGCAGGAGGCGCTACCTGGCGCTAAATCAAGTGAAAGGGTTGGGTCGAACGGGAAGAGAGGGGGGGCTGCGCATGGGGAGCTGTTTTGCATAAAATATTGAAGCAAACGGCAACAATGGAGTCGCAAAAGAAGGGGGCGAACGGCGAATCGATGGCATTCGGCACGGCCCGTCAAGGTGTTGGGCAGGTGTAATAAAACAAAGACTTCAATTTTCATAAATCGTTGCGAACTGCAGAAATCGTGAGAAGCCATTCAGAATTTACATTAACAGCTGTGGCAAGAAAGGGACTGACAAAATCAATCGACTGGAAGTGAATGCCAAAGCGAACGGACTCTCATTGTATCCGTCCGTACAGCTCCCCCCCCCCCCCTCCCGGCGGTCCCTTTAGTGTGTCGTTTCAGTTCCTTTTCGGCAAATAAAAATAAAAACCAGCAAATGATGCAACACTCATTGAATACATATAAAGATGTATTCACATACATTTGGTATGTCTGCAAAAAAAAAATAAACGACATTTCGAATGAACTTAAAAATTATGCGATATGTATATCGCGGGCATTGAACCGGGGGCCACTCGTTCGCCAGGCAGACACGCTGCCCGTGAGCCAAGCGTGCCCGAAGCGCGGCTCCACTTTGAGCAGGATTTAAGCTGAAAGGCTACAGAATAGTTTGATTGATTTATCTCTAGGTCCCGCCCTTCTCTACTTTACACATAGACTTTCCCCAGAATTGCACCTAAAATGGAAAGATCAACACAAGAAAACTGGAAACGATCCACAATTAAGAATATTTTGACTCTATAAAGAAACGTATTCAGATATTAATTTTGCGGCAGACTTTAAACAATATGAATCAATTGTGATTCAATTCACATATTTCCAGAAGCAAAAGGATTCATATACGGATTTTTCATCCGATTTTCCCCGTCCCGAAGTACGAATGAGTTCTTTGTCTGGTAAGAACTGATAGATCCAAGGGATCTAAAAAATATAAACTATTCACAATTTAGATTCTTTTGAAGCAATTCAGAAACGTGTTCACATATTCATTTTGAATCAGATATTTGAATGAATCAATTATGATTCAGCTCCCGTTTTTCCGAGAGGTCAAGGGAATGATATATGGAGAATTAAAACTGAATACGAGTAAAATCAATTCAAATGCGAGCCTATCAAGTTTTGAATACGCAATGACTGCATTCACTTGACATTCGAATAACGAATCACAAGTATGAATGGCAGCTACACGCTTAATATATAGCCTATATATATATATATATATCTAACGATACTGTACAACCCAAACACTCACATTCAAAACATTCACATTCACACTCAATCGCACTTATTCGAACTAATAGCAAAACACTTTGAATATGATTCACACTCATAACGGAAATCGTTTCAGTCAAGCACAAGAATTTAAATATGTTTGCACTCAGAACAGACGTCGCCGAATTTGCAATTAAGCTGCGTTGCACTCAATTGAGTGCATTCTGGCCAAAGGCTGCACTCACTCAAAACAAAGCGCACTCAGCGAAACAAGCGACTCGAAACGGACGCGGGAACATGCCGCTTGTGCCGTTATTTAATTTAACGGGACTGCCGAAAAACAGGCAGAAATAAAGAACACAAAAGCAGGCAAATTTAAAGCGGGCCATCAACAAGAAAAAAAAAATACATACGCAGACAAAGCAAACTAAATTTCCGCTTTATGTGAGACTATGTGTGTGTGTGTGTGTGTGTGTGTGCGACACCAGGCGACATAAATGTGCTTAAATGATTAATAACTTTTGTCACTCCTTTCTGGCACACGCGAATGGCGCACTTTGTGGCGCGGTTTCAGTTTCACTTATTAACAATAACAAAAACAAAAAAAACAAATGCAAAAAAAAGAACAACAACACAAGCAAATAGGATATAGCTGAGGCACAGCTGAAATATAAAAATCCAATAACCGCGAAACTCAGTGGCTGCGGCCGCCTTTTGGCTCCACACGTGTTTCGCTTACGGTACTTAAAATTCCGTTATTTGACGTTGGTCGGTTTACTATTGCGCGACAAGTGCGAACACTGCGAAAGCCGGTCGACGACTGTGGCAGCTGCTCAGCTGCGTGGTGAGTTATAAGGCAACACACAAGCAGCCAGTCGCCTGTCGTCTGTCGGCTGTCGGCCGTCGGCTGCACTCGTGCTTCGGTTCGACCAGACACTCGGCTCGCCACGTTTGAGTCGGTCTGCCTGAGCCTCAGTTCAGCCGCTGCTTGACACGTGCAAAGCGCTTTGATTTGTTTGTTTTGAGTGGGTTTGGGTTTGCCTCATTGTGTGCCCCGCAGTCAAAAAAAGCCGGCAATGCCGTTATGCTTGCATTCCCCAAAAGTAGATATAAAAATAAAGACAGTTAGACAAAAACAATAAGACTCTCACTCGGTGGTGAGTTTTTAAATGCCCCGCAGGCCAGACAATAGAGATAATATTTACTCTAAAAGCCATCGACCATGGAGTTCTTAAATCAATCTTATCGCCACACACACACACACACAGGCTTATACAGAAATAAAGTTAAAATTATTTAATAATCTGCTGTGAACACAAGTTTGACTGCGAACTCAACTCTTTAACTCTTTGCAGCAGGCGCTGGCATGTTTGAGTGGACCCTAACTCACCACTTTAAGTTTGGGCAAACGCACAGGCTGTTGTGAGTAGATCCTAACTCACCTCTAGAAGTTTCTTCAAGCGCAGCTTTGAGCACAGTCCGAATTGAATGGCTCTTAACTCACCTCTGCAGGCTTTTTGAAGTGCAGCTTCGAGCGCAGTCGGTATTGCGTGGGCTGAAACTCACCTCTCTAATTTCTGTCAAGCTTAGTTTTAAGCGCGGACATTATTGAGTGGGTTTTAACTCACCTTTTCGATTTCCCGTTATGCTTTCATTGTTGTCGTTATTTGTACCCTCTAAAAGTGGCTACAAGAAAAGGGTATATTGACATTTCGCGAAATAAGTAATATTATGAAATATATAAAATGATATGAATAAAAAATATAGTTATTTAGGTAAATCCAGAATACTTTACTTCTAAGATGCACTTTCTAAAATTAAGATTAATTGAGCTGGATACAGGGTGTCTTCTCGTCAGGCGCTCACAACTCACTTGTTTTCCGTCTTTTTAAAGTTCTACAACAATGAATTTCATAATCGAGAAGGCGTTTAATAATTGAGAAAACTGTTTTGTCATCTAGTTAGCTTTCACGTTCAGATCTGGGGGGGACCCTGTATGGGAATTCGGCAATATTCATTCTGAATTTAGCTCTGGAACAAACAACAACTAAAAATTGTTAGTGAAAAAAAAAAAACAGCCAAGTAATGTTGTGAGAGAACAAAATAAAAAGAAAAAAAAAAACTATGTAAAAAATAAAAAATTTCGAAAAAAAAAATATGAATAAAATCCCTATGTTTTGTGCAATATAATGTTTTTGTTTTTCGTTTCAAAATCTAAACACTGAAATCGAACGAAATATTCTAGCCTTATAATACCAAAAAAAAAAAGTACAAAAATTGGGGGGTATCCTGTAAGGAAAGCAGAAAATGAAAAACCCAGGTAAGTACAACTCTAGAACAAAAGCAGGGCAAGGTAAAGAAAATTGTTTGTTTTTCCAGAAACAAAGCCAAAAAACGCAAAATGACAAAAAAGAAAAAAAAAAAGGAGACGCATTTGATTTATTTGATTTGAATTCCATAACACATTTTTCACAATTCCATGGTTCAATATGTTTATTTTAAACGCAACAGTTGCGCAGCTACAGTCCGAAGTCCAAACCTTCCAACACTTTCCAACACACACTTTTCCCAATTAACACTGAAGCAAAGGAATCATCAACACGAATAACGGGAAACACGACGAACAACGGAACATTGAGCCACAGGAACAAAGAAGAACGAACCACATTTTCACGAATCCCAATACAACTACTATGAACCACGAACCAGTTCCATGTTCCATTCCCATGCATTCCCGTTGCAGCGAATGTTCCAATGAACCAGTTAAAAAGACGGTAAGTTCTTGGCTTGGATATTTTTTGTGTAATGCTCAGTTTCTTGATTCCCCAGTTACTCGGCCATTGCGATTTCAAGCCTACGGTACCGCGACCGCAAAACCCACTTTCTTATCAAACCCCCCCCAACCCCCCTCCACCGCCACCCGTCCAGTTGAACCAGTTGAACCAGTTCATGAAGCAACCCGAGGTCGGCGCGCAGGATTTGCGTACTTGAAAGCGACACTGGCCCATCCGGTTTGCTGCACTTGTCAATCGTTTGAAATATATGCTTCACTCTAGACATACATACGAATATGTGTACATGAGCTTGCGTTTTCCCTGTAGTCCAGTGTATAGTCTGGTGTCTAGTGTAATTTTAAGTGTTGTCCCCGCGCCCCGCCCTTCCCTTAAAGAGACGCACATGTAAGGCCGACAGACGTGGGCTGTTCCAGAGATTCCCTCCTCTGGAATAAAGAGGAGGAACTCGTCCTGGAGGAAGTTGGAAGTAATGGAAGAGTAGGGTATAGCGTATAGGGTATTTTTAAGTGTAGTCCCTTCTCTACATATAAAGCCGACAGACGTGGGCTGTTCTAGGGATTCCCTTCCCTGGAATAAAGAGAGAAAGAACTTGTCGTGGAGAAAGTTGGAAGTAATGGAAGAGTAGGACATAGGGTACAGGGTATTTTTAAGTGTATTCCTTTCCCTTGCTTATAAAGCCGAAAGACGTGAGCTTTTCCAGAGATTCCCTTCCCTGGAATAGAGGAAGAACTCGTCCTGGAGGAAGTTGGAAGTAATGGAAGAGTAGGGCATAGGGTACAGGGTATTTTTAAGTGTAGTCCCTTCTCTACATATAAAGCCGACAGACGTGGGCTGTTCCAGAAGTTCCCTTCTCTGGAGTAAAGAGGAAGAACTGGCCATGAAGGAATTCGGAACTGCTTTCGAGCACAAAAAGCGTTGCCATAAAATAGCCAAAATGTCGTTTATCGCCAGCGAACGAGCTTTGTAACTAGCCAAATTCAGCTATAAAATAGCTAAATTGAATGGCAACTAACGAAGCGACCCTCGCCACAACGTTGAACGCTGACTTATCGTCACGTGCGCACTTGCACTTGGCATCGGCTGCAGGAAAGGGGCGTGTGGGCGTGGGCGTGGGCGTGGGCGTGGGCGTGGCAATGGCCAGACAATGGGTTAAGTTGACACAGTTGCATAGATTTTGAGACGAGACACGTTCCAAAAAGGGGTGGAAAGTGGGGGGGAGGGGAGGAATAGGAAGCAAGTGACATTTATGCTGACACCAAAAATCATCATCAACAACAACAACAACTTACACCCGCCCTCCCCCCACTTCGACTCGCAAATATTTGCCGGCTAGGCAAACTTGTGGCCTGGCCAGATAGTGGACGTAGGGCGTAGTGCGTGGGGCGTGGCATGGCAGCTTGCATGCGTCGTATTTCCGCTCCAGATCATAAACAAAGCCAAAGCGAGTGCCAATGCGAGTTGTGCATGTTCCATGTTCCATGTGCCATGTTCCGTGTTCCACTTTCCATTCGTTCCCGCTGCAATGCACGGCAACAGGCGGAACACCTGCGGGCATTTTGGCATTGTACGCTTTTAGGCGGCGCCTCTTCTTATGCAACAATTAAACGTAGAACAACTTAAAACAAGAACATTTTAGAAAGTTGCCGTCGACTGTCACCGACTGCATAATACCCTGTACGAAATCTTAGAGCGTAGCTGAAACTTGGAACATTTGCTTTTCTTTTCTTTTTGAAAGTTTGGAATTTGTAGATCCGTTATAAACCAGAAACTAGTTCAGTTCACGGTTCACACGCGCTTTAAGTGAGGTTCATGAACTTGAACTTCTTTACGTATGTGTACCCAGATCATGGTTCCAGTCTTGGTTCCTTCAACTTTTACAATTCAGGGATATAAATCTAATTTTGGTTGTTATTGTAATTGTGATCATTTTATGATCTAGCTGTGAACTGGTTCGGTTCATTTGTAAAAATCAGTCTCTAGAACAAAACATTTAATACATAAATAGTTCTTTTTTTTTATATATCCACAATAAATGGTCACTAGTTCACGGTTCACGGTTCAAACTCACCTCGAGTTCAATTCGTGAAACTAGTTCTTTACATGCGTGTATCTAGATTTTGGTTCCCGCGCTCAAACTGGAGTCCACATGGATTTCTATATGGATTTCTTAGCATGAATTGAACAGCAGGCTTCCAATTCGAAAACCCGATACATCCCTCTCTTCACTTTCTGTACAGGGTATAGGAAATTGGCCAGCGGCTGCATTTTGCCAACTAAATGTGAGACTCTCGTTCTGAGCATACACAACAGCTGGCTTGAAGTACATTGTGCGACAGAAAGAGAGAGCACGAGAGAGAGGGAGAGAGTGAGAGAGTGAGAGAGTGAGAGAGAGAGAGAGAGGGCAATATTTGGAGCACAGTTCTCCCAGCTAGGCCTCGGCTTGGGTGTGGACAATAACAGAAAATCTGCTTCAAATTTTCATTTTCATTTATTTTTATTATTAATTTCTTTTTGCCCGTAGCTAGAATAGAACTAGATCTGTAGGCACAGAAATTTCAGTCCGTTCTACTCTATTAATGTCATAATTATTTGCTCGGTTCTATTTTGATTCTATTCGTAATCCACAATATGATCTGTTTGTATGCGAAACCGTTTGTGAATGACTGCTTGACTGATTGATGACTTTTCACTGCAGCTAACCAAATTCACCCGCAAGTGTGGAATATTAGTGAAAGAATGATGGGAAATGTGATTGGAATATAAATTGCTATGGAACTGCAGGCGAGACTATGCAATAGTCCAGCTTTACATGATTGACGGACTGATTGAGGGATTGATTGACTGATCTGTCTATCTTTGAGGCATTTTCTAAACATGTGAACTAAATAGATTGATTGTAAGAACCTGTTCAAGATCTTATCAGAGTCCATGTAACATCTAACTATCTTTGCATGATTGACTGATTGATTGAGGCATTGATTGACAGATATGTCCGTTCTGCCTTTCTTCCTTGAGGCATTTCCTTAAGATGTAGATTTACAGTCAATCTGTTTGAGAACCTGTTCAAGATCTTATCAGAGTCCATGTAACATCCAACTATCTTTGCATGATTGACTGATTGATTGAGGCATTGATTGACAGATATGTCCGTTCTGCCTTTCTTCCTTGAGGCATTTCCTTAAGATGTAGATTTACAGTCAATCTGTTTGAGAACCTGTTCGAGACCTTTTCAGGGTATATGCAACAACTATCTTTCTTTACATGATTAACTGACTGATTGGGTAATTGATTGATAGATCTGTCTGTGCGTTCTTACTCAGCATTAACTATAAGATACCGTTTGATATCTTCGCCCATTTTCACAATATTCATTTGGAGACTTTGCGTCTTAAGCATAACTCAAGCATTAGAAGAGCTAGGGACACCTAATTTGGTAGTGTAGTGTACATCATTTGGGTATATAACACTTTTGTGATAGATCCAATACATTTCCAGTACCGAGTAGAGTATTTGAGTTTTAAGAGCTCGTATAAATTGGAAATACCCCTAATATTCCGATACATCCCACCCATTCCCAGTTGCGAGCAGAGTACTTCAACTTGTTGCGCGTACGTAGACTTTTGCCTATCACTATTGACTACTTTATAGAGTATGCCCTTAGGCAAGCCCCTACTAGTCTGTGGCAATGGCATTGTAAGGGGCGCGGTGGAGGGGGCGGGTGGGGGCGGAGAGGATGGCAGATCTACAAGTTGTCTCTGGTTGCGGCCAAAAAACTGTTTTCAATATCATAAATTTATAAATATAATTTTTTGGCTCGATTGCAAGCGAACATCTGTGGATGCCTGTTGAGAGTGTGAGTGTGAGTGTGTGTGTGTGTGAGTGTGTGTGTGAGTGTGAGTGTGTGTGTGTGTAAAATTGTGGTGCCGTCGCACGGGCCCTGTTGAAACTGTGCCAAATGCCGGAGACGGGCGACAACAACTCGACAGTTGCAATTTGTGCGCCGCGGCTCGAACAACGTGTCCAAAATTGTTGTTCTCTTCGTTTTTGTTGTTGTTTTTGTTGTTGTTGTTGTTGTTGTTGTTGTTGTTGTTGTGTTTTATTGCTGTAATCGTTTCATAGCATTATTAAATGTCGAGCTGTTAAACGCGCCCAAAAACCCCTCTGTCGCCCCGCGCCACGCCCGACGAGCCATACAAGCCGCGCGCTGACATCCATGCTGAGCGCGTAAAAATTATCAATTAAAATCAATTTAATCGTTAATCGGACGCCTTTACCAATACAAAAAAAAGGCCGGAAAAGCAGAAGAAAATGCCCGCAAAAAAACATGTAAACATAGTTGCCAGCGTATATGATGGGCGGGGCGCGAGTAGGGAGGGAGGGGGGGGGGGGGGGGGAGTAGGGAGGGTCCTGTGCTGGCAGCATAATTAAAAATGAATTTACCACACAATAAATATGCATATTAAATGGCTGTGCGTGTGCATAAACATTTTAATAGCTCGACCAAAATGAAAAGCCAAATGAAAAGCCAAACAAAAACGCGCAATAATGTCATTTGATGCACCTGTGGATGTGATTATTTAAATGCAATTATATTTATATATATATTTATAAATATACATATGTTCTCATATATTCTTGATCAAGCCATAAACATCCGGCCGTGCGTCTGTCAGATCGCATCAAACTCGGGAGAGCGTAAGATCTCAAATGTCGTATATCGTATGCAGAAAGTCTTCATCATATTGATTTTCGATATTTTTTGCCTCCTTTTATCGATTAATATCGATTTCGAGCACTCAATTAAGAGCATAGCTGGAAGGTTTTTAGAGCACAGAATAACAACAGTTCACTTTTTGGTCAGTTTCTTCGATCCGAAAGGGAAACAGACTTTCGATAGCTACTCTCTCATTGAATATCCCATTCTTCTTGATATCGATAAATATCGATTTGGGTTTAATATAAATCTTAAGCACAAATGGAAGATTTCAAAAGTTACATTTACAATAATTCGATTTATGGTCAGCTCCTGCGATTCGCCACAAATGGGAAGAGATTTATGATATGATATCTTCTCCCCCATCATATCGATAAATATCGGTTGTGAGCATTTAATCTTTAGCATAGCTCGTATATTTTAAGAGCTCGATATACAGATTCACAATGGTTCACTTTATGACTAGTTTCTTCGATTCGCCACAAATGGGAAAAGATTTATGATATCGCCTGCCTCATTCGATATCTCCGCCCTCATCATATCGATAAATATCGATTTTGAGTGTATTAATCAAGCACAACTTTTAAGAGCTAGATATACGGTTTCACAGTAGTTAACTTTTTAGTCAATTTCTTCGATTCGCCGCAAATGGCAACAAATTTTCGATATCTCCTTTCTCTTGATATCGATAAATATCGATTTTGAGCACTTAATCTTTAGCATAACTCGTACATTTTAAGAGCTGGATTCACAGGGCAATAATATTTCACTTTTTGGTCAGCTCCTTGGATTCCACACAACCGGGAAGAGATTTATGATATCTTCTCCCTCATTCGATATCTTGTGCCTCTTGATATCGATAAATATCGATTTCAAGTATATTATATTTTGCTTAGCTCATATATTTTAACAGCTGGATTCACAGATTTGAAAAATTTACCCAATTGCTTTCTATATTCAAGAGTATGAGAAATTCATTCCGATCGGACCTTAAGCACCGAATTTTACTCTAGAATTTGGCGCTGAGTTCGGGTATCCCGCAGTCGGATACAGTCTCACTTTTGGTTGTTTTGATTGTTATTTGAATTTGATATTCATGCTCAGTTTCTGTTTGCTGTTTTTCATAATAAAAATGAGTTATTTTTGGATGGCCGCAGGCAAATCTTAGATTTATAGCTAAATAATAATAAAAGGCAGCAAAACCGAAAGGCAAATATTCGTGTTTTCGCATTCTCGGGCAGCTAATTGAAACGCATGAAAATTCCTAAAGCCCAAAAGGAAAAACACAAAGAAAGAAAGCAAAAAAAAAAAAACACGCAATTGAAAAACCAAAACAAACCGCGCCACATGTTGTGGAATTCCGACGTTGACCCGCAGCGTGGCCACCACCGTGCAACGCCGGGTGACAGCAGCGGGGCATACAGAAGGGGGCCAGCTCTGCGTTGCGTGTTCCGTGCCTATTTTTGGGCCACGGCAGCTCGCAGCGGCGCGACCTATAAATAAACGCCATATACAACCAAGTATTCCCAGCCAAGTGTCGTCCCCCGCCTGCCCTGCCCTGCCCCAAAGCCACTCCAAGTCCATGCCACATGCCACATGCCGCAAGTCGCAAGAATGCCCGCAACACAATTGCGCGGATAGCTTAAGCTATTTGTTTTTTTTTTGTTCGTTCTATATCTAGGCACTTGCGGTTTTGATTACATTTATCAAAATAAACACAAGTTCTCCATCATAAAAATAAAGATCGGTCGGGCGTGCTCGACTAGGAGCTACCCTGTCATATGGCTGTGGTACGGCCTTGCCCAGCTCCATTTGATGCTAAAAACATTCTAGAATAACTCGAGTATTCCAAATCGTATTTCAATGAAACTTTCATGGCTTAAATATATGTTCAATTTGAATACATATCCCAAGGCTTAACAATGGGGCTCTTACAATTTCGTGGGGTACGCGGTGAGGTATCCAAAAAGTGAAATATCCGAAATTTGTGTATACTATACACGCACCTAAATACCAAGTTTGGCGTCTCTAGCGCTTATAATCCTCGAGTTATGTTTAAGATATAATTTCTCAAAATCGATATTTATCGATAATTTTCAAATGGAAGCAGTTATCGATCGAAAGAGCTTGTCAGCTCGATGTTCTGCACAAGCATATGTATATATTATGTTTTGGCAGTTGCATTCTTCTGCCTGTTACATAAAGCTGCACGAAATCATGATACCCTTGCTCAGCATTCGCAGGGTATAGCCATAAGCTAATATCTCTCGTTATTTTGGTGCTGCAAGCGCTCCGCTTGCAACTGAATCTATGTGCAGCAGGTGGGCAGGTGTGGAAGTGGGTGGTGGGTGGTGGTAGGTGGGAGGTGGGAGGTCTGGCGTTTAAATTGTTAACTGAAAACTGGCACCTGTTGAGGCGGACACGCGCTGCCCTCGTCGAGGCATTCAGCGTTGAGTGTCTTTTAATTGCCAGCTGTTGACAGGCAGCGCATCCCCCCAACCCTTCACCGTGCCCTTGTCGCCAGATTGGGCCATCGGCGAGGGGGGGGGGGGGGGGGGGGCCCGGTTGTGATTAATGAGTCGAACCGGAACATGGCAGAGCAATTAGAATACAATTAGCAGGGAATGTGGCCACTAATGAGCGCACTTTTGCAGAGACGCCAGCACAAACAACAGGCCCAGGCCCAGGCCCAGGCTCAGGCTCAGGCCAAGGCTCGCGTCCAGGCAAAGGAATCAGAGTTGGAGTCGGAGCTGGAGTTGGCGCCGGCGTTTCGCGTGGCGCACTCGGAACTGTTTGGACGCTATTTGGTGGCGAATCGTCAGCTGGCGGCGGGCGAGCTGCTCATCACCGAGCAGCCGCTGGCCATTGGTCCCTGCGTCAGCTGTGAGCCCGTCTGCCTGGGCTGCTATCGTCCCGTCCAGCTGACGGCGCAGCAATATCGCTGTGCCGGCTGCGGCTGGCCGCTGTGCGGCGCCAGCTGCCGTGGATTGCAGCAGCGACGTCTGGGCCACACGCAGGAAGAGTGTGAGATTTATGGGCAGCGACGTGGCTTGGCCGCGGAGCTGCTGACGACGCATGCAACACCCGACCAGGTGCGCGATCTGTACGAGCTGGTGCTGATCGTGCGCATTGCGCTGCTGCGCCAGCTGTCGCCGGATCTCTATGCGCAGATCCGGCGCATGGAGTCGCACACGGCGGCGCGGCGCGCAAACGCTACGCTCTGGCAGCACTACGAGCAGAAGGTGATCGGACGGCTGCGCGACGACTGGCAGCTGCAGCAGCTGGAGGCGGCGGAGCTGCACGAGATTTGCGGCATCCTGGATGTGAACTGCTTTGAGATTGGACAGCGCGGCGCCAAGGCGCGCACGCTCTATCCGAGCGCGTTCCTGCTCGCACACGACTGCAGCCCCAACACGGCGCACACGGACGATCCACTCAGCTATGCCATCCTGTTGCGCACATCGCGCGCCGTACGCGAACAGGAGACGCTCACGCTCAGCTATGCGTACACGCTGCAGGGCACCTTGAAGCGGCGCTCCTTCATCCAGGGCGGCAAGCTGTTCTGGTGCCGTTGCCAGCGCTGCGCCGATCCCCGGGAGCTGGGCAGCGATTGCAGCGCCCTCGTCTGCAGGTCCTGTCAGCTGGGCAGCATACGTGCCACCGACCCGCTGGACCAGAGCGCCGACTGGGCGTAAGTAGAGCGCGATCTTGATCCTTCCCGCCGAACGTTGCCTAATCCATGCTCCTTTTCAGCTGCGATCGCTGCACTCAACGCCTCAGCGCTGTCCAGCTGGAGCGTCTACTGGATCGCATCAATGACGATCTGGAGTCCATCGATGTGCACGACATTCCCGCACTGGAGAACTTTCTGGCACGGTATGATATTCAATATCATCCAAAAGTGATCTGATCATAAGGAAATCTAGAATATAGCTGGAAGATACTCTCTAATGTTTATATTCCAAATTTGAAAATCTTCTTTCATTGATTCTCTGAGTTATCTAAAGTTGAAAAATCATTCTCAGCAACAATCTGATTGTTGGGGAATTGAAAAATGCTCCAAAATATCTATTTACCAAATTGAAGACTTAGGTTTCGGGGAATTTCTTAGAAATCTCCTGATAAACAGGATACGTCAGCTACACTTCAAGCATGCACGTCTGATATTACCCGGCATTGCCCGTTGCTTTTTCCTTTGCACTTCCATGCACAATTGTCTGTTCTTCCATCTATTCCCACAGGGTGCTTATTGATCTCAGGTTCTATCAGAGCTGGACCTAGAAAATTTGTTATATAGGTTCTCACAGGCTTAACATGCAACCATATTTGAGGAAGTGCGTAACTGTTGACTCTTAGATCTGTTTTTATGGAGTGCTTTTTGAACTCAGGATCTAACGAGGATAGAACCAACAAAATTTGATAGATGGGTTCGCAGACCTTTAAAGTCGAAAGAGCAAAGGTGTGAATGACAGAAAGATAAAGCTTAGCTCTTAAGCTCTCCGCTGTGGACTGCTGACTGAAGCTCTGTGGGAGTCAAGGAGAGAGTCCAAGGCTTGTCTGAACTGCGAATAAAACTTGATCTGACTTGATGGACATACTTGTAGGTACCGCGAGATGCTGCGTCCGAATCATTACCTGCTGCTGTCGGCCAAGTACTCGCTGTGCCAGACATATGGCCGGATCGAGGGCTATCTGCTGCCGGAGTTGTCGCCGCAGGATATTGCGCGCAAGGAGCGCTATTGTCGCGAATTTCTGGCCGTCATCGATCTACTGGAGCCGGGTCTAACCCGTCTGCGCGGTAAGTGCACAGATCATCTAAAATTACCAGCACTACAATTCGTACACTCGCAGGTGTCATCATGTACGAGCTGCATGCTCCGATTATGGTGCTCGCCCAGCTGGGCATGCAGACGGGCCAGATGTCGCGCCAGGAGTTCCAGAAGCGCATCAACGAGGTCGTCAAGCTGCTCACGGAGAGCGCACACATTCTACAGCTGGAACCAGCCGGTTCCAGCGAGCATGAAATGGGTCGAGCTGCCGCCGATGCGCTCATCAAAATGGGCTGCTAAGACCCGAAGAACTTCCATCTCTAGAGCTTTGTATGCCCATGCATATATACATTGCTGTAGTCCGTGTGAACTCGACTCTCGGCCGACAACTTGCTCCAAGTGCTAGCCATACCAGCAGCTGGCTAAGAAATCCAATTCATCTGGATTACTGTACTATATCGTATAGTATAACACTTTATAACATGGAACATCCCATCCCACGCTATGTTCTGTTGTGAAACTGTCTTTTACTTAACTCACTTAAGGTTGTATAATCGAATAATAGCAATAATTATTTATAGAATTTACAGGTCAAGAACAGACTTTTATATTGTAGAATCTAAGCTATAAAAATGCTTGTAAAAACTGTTATACGCTGAAAAAAATATTTGCAAATATCACTATGATCGGACTTAAGACAACGAACACATTTCTTCTGGATAGTGTGTGGGGTAAATGCAGTCTCTGCTCTGTACAGGGTATCTACTAGTCGTGCTGTTAAGCACAACAGCTGCTGTAAGCTTCTCTATGTCCTTAAGAAGCTTGCACTGGACAGAGAGCGAGGCGGCACTGCAAAACTTGACAGAGGGCAACAATTTTTAATTAGCCAACATTTCGCTGGGACTCGTCCCATTATCTCTGGTCCTCAATGTTGCCAGGCAAATCGAAAATGCTGAAACTGTAATCTGTGACGTCTTTTGTTTTTGTTTTTGCCTGTGCTTTGTGTTCGCTTTTTATGAAGAATGCAATAAAGAAAAACAAAAAAAACAGAACGCGCACAACTTTCGAGTTCAGTTGAGTTCTATTCAGGGCTCAGCCTGAGAATCCTTGTCCGGCTAATTGCGCCCCGAAACGGAAACTGAAACGGAAACGGAAAAGGCGACGGAAACTCGAAGCGACAACAGAGCAACGGAAATGGTCAGACAAGTCGCTGATGCTTTCCCCCCCCCCCCCCCCCCCCCTACGCGCTCCCCTTGACTCTTGCACTTTGCCATTGATAGTTGACAGCAAGTTGAACTCCTATCGCAATGTTAATTAATGCATATTTTTGACGCCGCTTTCAATGTGAACTGGCAACGCCCAGCACCCAGCACCCAGCTGGCAACACTGGCGAGCTGTTGTCCCTCTCTCTCTCTCTCTCCCACTCTCTTTGATAGTTGACAGCAAGTTGAACTCCTATCGCAATTTTTGACGCCGCTTTCAATGTGATGGCAACACAACTTCTCCGTCGACCTGGCAACGCCCAAAGCCCTAAGCCCAGCACCCAGCTGGCAACACTGGCGAACTGCTCTCGCTCTCCAAGTTTGTAAAAACTGCTTGTCAAGTGGCTGTCATTAGTCTGTCAACTGCAACTTTCACCCAAGTCTAACATATTCCATTTAATTATATCTAACGTATATTACTTAACTTCTAATTTCTTGTGTGCTCTTGGGCGCTTGTTTATATTGTTATACTCAATTTTTATAACAACAAAAAAACAATTCCCTTAACTTTTCACAAAAATTTCAATTAAATATCATTTCTAAATATAAATATTTTGACATTTGCAGTTAAATAGGATATTAAATGTTTGTCATGAATCACATAATATTTTATATTTAAGCCCTAAAAGTTGCATAAAGATCGGACTATAAGGGAAGAAGAAGCGCAGAGACTGCGCAGTTTGCAGCGTGCAGGGTATCTCCTACTCGAGCATTTCCGACCAAATCGATCTAGCCAAAAGTCCATTTTCCAATTAGAAAATTATGTTATATTATATTATAAAATTCTAATTATTTCAAAATATTATCAAAATTATGATATTAGAATAGAATTCATTCCCTTGCTCCTCCAGCCTCTCACCGTCTCTTTCTATTACTGCACCTAGGACTAAATCTCAGATGTACATCCTTTTCCAATTGGATTTATTCCAATTTCATGTAAGCTGTCTGTCTGCAACAGGTGGATAACTGTTTAATGCAGTGCTTATTCAGTTACAAAGCTGCAGCGGAAACGGAAACGGAAGGATGGCCATCATATGAGACAGAGCGAAGTCCAGGCACACACACACACACACACACACACACACACACACACACACACACACACACAGGCAGGCAGGCAGGCAGACAGACACTGAGCATGTGGCTATAAAATGCAAAGGAAAACATTCATAAGAATGAGAGGCAGTTCTTTATTTCATAATAATTGTGTGGCAAGCAACAACAAAATAATAATAATAACAAAAGCGAAAACAACAACAATCATAATAATAGCAAAGATGCACAGCTTAGATAAAGTCACACCGAGATTGAGATACATTTCGGGTTGAGATGCAGATACAGATACAGATGCACATTTCCCAGTAACAAGTGTCGGACGGAACATTCGAGCGCCTGTCGGTTGTGCAACTGCGGCTTGAGGGGGTTGGCTTTGTTGGAGTGGAGACGAGACGGGCTAGGGTGGGGCGAGGGTAGGGGGGTGTTGGGTAAGGTGTCTGGATGGCGGTATTCAAATTGCGTTCATTGATACAAACATGCAAAAATACCCAGTGAGACTCTGTGCAAAACTTATGCAAATCAATTTAGATAGAGCAAAGGCATTTTCCATATTCTTAGAAGAAAGGGAAAGAGGGAGAGGGCAAGTGAGAGGGAGAGAGAGACAGGGAGAGCGAGGTTTAGCTAATGCGCTAACACCATAAATAATGCTAGAAAGAGAAGAAAAGAAAAGAAAAGAGAGGGAAAGAGAGGGAAAGGGCTGCGTATTCTTAGAGTTTCTTTTCTCGAAAGAGAGAAGAATTGAGTAGATAAGTAAGATAGACAAGGAAGCTTCTTCCTTCTTTAAGAAGTTCTGCAACATTTTGAAGAGAGAGAGAGAGAGGGAAGGTCGCCTAAGAAGCTTCTTCTTCTTTAAGAAGTTCTACAACATTTTGAAGAGAGAGAGAGAGAGAGAGAGAGAGAGAGAGAGAGAGAGAAGCTCGCCTAAGAAGCTGCTTCCTTCTTCCTTCTTCTCCTTCTTAACTTAACTTTCTTTCTTCGGAAACTTCTTGTGGTAGAGAGCACTATTGAAGAATTTCAGGCACCTTTAAATTTATGAAGTCGTGCAAAAGTCAGGTGGTGGTAAGTACTTTAAGCAGCAGCGCAGACGAGTCCCACTGGGCTTTACACTTGCGAATCTATTGCAAATGCACTTATATAAGGGAGCATGTGTGCGTGTGTGTGTGTGTGTGTATCTTACAAAGGCATAAATGAAAGAAAAACAAGAAACGGTAACAACTAAAAGCGTACGATAAATATAAATTGCATTGTGCAATAATCTTCAAAGTGCAACAAAGTAAAAACAACAACAAGAGGCAGAAGCATCAGCAAAGGCGCCACAACAACACGCAACACAATGAGAAACTGAGGCGGGAGCTGGAGCTGGAGAGGGAGAGGGAGCAGGAGCTGGAGCTGGAGAGGGAGCAGGAGCAGGAGCTGGAGAGGGAGCAGGAGCTGGAGCTGGAGCTGGAGCGAGAGATGCATAAAGCCACATAAAAAATAAGACGATGCCAGGCAACCAGAGCACATGCAACGACAACAAGAGAGAGCGCTACCCTGTGATTGTGTATCAGACATTGCTTGCAGTCTCGAATAAAATCGGTGCTCGGTCCGATCCCAATACAATTTTTTTGACAAAAAATGCTGTTTACATCAGGATCTTATTGTAACGAGACCCTACGAGAGACCTGGCCATAGTATATATACCCTTTATGGGTTCGTTATGTTACGTGCATTATACCCTGTTTTGCGCACTTTCAATGCGTTCGGGGTATAACAACAACGGCTTCGGCAGGACGTTGCCACACAAAGTAAACGAGGCAGCCAGGTTGCCCAGCCGGCGGGACTTTAGCCAGGAGTTGGCTGAACGCCCAGCCGCCCAACCGGGCGCCTGCTGCGAAAAGCTGCTGTTGTTAACTTCGTAATGGGCCAAAGCCAAAGCCAAAGGCATTGACGTCGCTTCAATGGGGCACATTCAGCCCGAGAAGGCTTCCAATACCTTAACAGCCAGCTGCGATCCATCTATGCGCATGCTGGCTGATTTCTCAAAATGGACAATAACAAGGCAATAGCGGCATTGGCAATATAATTAGAGATTCCATAAGGCAATATTGAAACGACAAGTGTACTGAAAATAAGCCAATGTTCAAGACTTCCATCTAAACAGATCGAAGAGGAAGACCTAGGTGGTTGCTTAAGGAATAATTTAGTTGTTTCCTTACTTTTGGTTGAGGTAAGTACACATCTCAGACTTTGTTAACTATATATATTCCTGATCAGTCGATCCAGATCCAGTCAGATTCGTCGCTTTGCTGCAATGTTTCGAAACTAATCAGATTTCCATCTGGACGTCGGTCTTTCTTGCTCCTTCAGGCAATACCTTGGCTCGGATCGTAGCCTCGCCAGAGCATTTGCTATGTTCCTTCCCGTTAAAGTATATTGCTTCTGCTATTCAAATATTTACAGGTCTACATGGGGAGATTTCCTTCTTTAGAATGGAATCAAATCTGACTATAAGTTGCGTGGAACCCCGCTAGGTGGCGCCACTGGCGTGCAACCGCAACATTATGGCGAGAGCTGATAATACCGAGCTGTATCTTTTGTATTTACTTCTGCGCCACATGCAACATGCGACAGCGACGTTGGCAAGGATAACGCCACGAGACGCTACCCAGCCGAGGGCGTGGGCGAGGGCGAGACATGGCTATCAAAAGTGTTGCTTATTAAAATAAAATTTATTGCTTGTTTGCTGATAAAAATGAAGACAGACGCCAGCGAGCGCCAGGAGGAGACGCCACTGCGCAAGCTGCAGCTGCAGCTGCTGTGTGTGGCACGTAAAAGTGTTAAAACGATAAGCGGCGATAGCGCCAAGGCATAAAGAATATTGCTGCAGCAGTAGCTGCGGCATCATAAAGCCATAAAACCAGTGCACAAAAGGGAACCAAGGACGTAGCAAGGCAAGGCCCAAGCCGGAGCCGGAGCCGAAGCTGAAGCCGGAGCCGGAAGCGGAAGCTAAACAGGCAACTAGACAAAAGACAAAATGCAATTAAAGGTGCGCAAAAGCAATGCAAATAAGCGACCAGCTTAATGAGCCACTCGCTTCAGCGTTCACAGATTCAGTTATCCTTGGAGCAAAGGCTACTTGGACATGCCCCACCCATCCCGCTGGCCACTTGACAATGCCACTCACGGTAGCAGCCGGCAACTGTCAGCGAGTGTCTCAAGTGACAAAGTTATTTGGCTCCAAATGCCCTAACAAAGGGTATTTGTCAGGATTCACTTAAGTGGTAAATCAGAATATGCTTAGTCCTTATAAGAGAAAGTCTTTTCGATTGATGCAGATCCTTATGCAAATAGTAAGGTCGTTGGTTCTAATCCTAATCTTAATGCTGCATAAATTGAATCATTAGCTGACCAATAAGGTCAATTAAGTGAGGTCACTGGCTCAAACCCTAGTTACAGCAGGATATGACTTCATTAGCTTAGCTGACTTATTGATAAAGACATCCATTTAGTGAGGTCGATGGTTCAAATCCTAGTTACACCAGGATAACACTTCATTATCTATGCACTAATCGCTAAATGAACTGTCAAGGTAAGATCGCTGGTTCAAATCCTAATACACAGAACTTTCTAGAAAAGTTTAGTATCTACATAAATTGCCTTATTGGTTGACTGATTGATGCAAATTGAAGCGAATCATTTGATCATATGTGATCACTGTAAGTCATTCGAGTAAAAAGAAGGTAGATGGTTCTAAGCCGAGGCCAAAGAGTGCTCGACTAGAAGATGACCAGATATATTCGATAATTATCTCAGCAGTCATGGCTGGCCGAGCTGCCATGATGCGGTTGCTGGTTCAAACAATAAATAAGTGGCCTCTGGCTAGTGCTATTGAAGCCATAAATTCTGCTCAAAGCAGAAGGTCTTAGACTAGGAGTTGCTCGAGCTTCCCAAACTTCGAAATACGTAAATCTTTGTCTAGACGATTTAAAATGTAATAAAACCAATCCCAGCCACGCATAGCCTAGCTAGGGTATTCTATATGCGACATGTATTTCGGTTTCCTGCAACCACTTGAAGTGTGTCCAAGTCCAATTCGAATGCCAAATCCCAATCAGAAGCACACCAAACACAATTGCCAATCAGCTATTTGTTATCCGCCTATATTTGGAGCAACAAAGTTAACAATCTGTAATGCCAGCTGCATCAGTAGTTGTAGCCAATCTCGCTGAGAAGCGTATTGCCATCGGCGGAGCCGGCGGCGGCGGCAGAAATGACAGAGTCCTGCAGGTTGCGCAGCAAGCGATGCCGTAGATGCATTGTCCGGAGGCGTTGCATGCGCCGCTTCAGGTTGCAATAGACGGGACAGCAGTCCGGAAAGGGCTTGTACATCAGATCCTCCTCATCGCCCTGCTCACACTGGTCCGGCAAAATGTCCAGGCAGCTGGCCATAAAAAACAAAAAGAAGAAGTACCAAAGTTTTGCATTAGCAGGGAGCAAGAGTGGGTGGGTGGGGGAGGGATTGGTTGGGCTATTGTGCTGTTGGCATGCATGTGGATTGGCATGCGACTAGAAAATCTATTCATTTGGCACTACTCGTTGGGTCTAGATATTTTTTCCACTACGAAAATAGACCTGGAGCGCGGCATTATCTGATTATTCTCGCAGAACAGGTTCGAACAGAGACTGAGCAGGACGAGCCGGCGCGGCAGGAACTTCGATTGCTCCCACATGCAGCGTCGATAGGTGCCTGTTGAAGAAGTCGAGCGTCTGTCAAGCTAGGTTAGCGACATCCTCTTGCCAGGGCATACTCACGCAACACGCTGTTGTCGCTCTCGCTGGAATCGTCGGCGCTGTAGCCGCGCTGCAGATGATAGCGCTTCATGTGGAACTGGCCGAAGGCGTCGCAGCTGCACAGCCAGACCAGGAGGCACACGGCCAGGCTCCCAACCAACTGCATCACATACATCCTCTATCTATCTCTCTATATATATATATATATATATATATATGTGTGTGTGTGTGTGTATATATGTACGCTGTGTGTGTATTGCGGACTGTGCGAGGCGGGCGACTGATGTGCGGCAACTACGCGCCCAACTCACACCATGGTTCCCAGCAAGCGGCCACCAAAAGCTGCTCGACATTACGTATACGCAACGTATTGCCGCCTCGCAAATGTGTGTGTGCGTGTGTGTGTGCGTGTGTGTGTGTGGCTAAATTGGCCGCAGCACTTGATTAAATCAACAAACAAACAAACAACAAAAAACTATGCGAATGCAAATTTTTGCGTTTTACATTCGCTCACGATTAACGCCAGCCCACACACCCTCCCCCCCAACCCACCCCCCGCTCCACCACCCGCAACTGCTGACCTAGCATGAATATGAATACCAGCTTGAATACACAGTCACACTCGGATCATGGACAGCACAGTGCCATCCGCCAAATTGTCATAATTGTCGCCCAGTTAAATCTCAACTAGAAAAAAAAAAAATACCCACCAAATGTCAAGTGCAGCCGTTGCCACAGAGAGAGGAAGAGGGCGATGGCGCGGGGTAGGGAGAGGAAGGGCGGCGGTTTGGGTCGCTCAATGGGAGCGTGGAATCTAGCACTAAATTGTGTATTTACAGTTTTGAAACTCTGGTTACAAGTCTTCTGTAAGCCAGCAAACCTAATACTCAAGAGTTTGGACCCACTGAAAAGAAAAAAAACAAGAAAATGCCAAAAACTTGCCAGAAACTTTGCCCAACGAAAAACGTCATAAGAAACTTATCCACAAGAAGCCGAAGAGTAAATACCCAGCTTTAACAAACGGCTTACTCAACTAGAAGCTTTGTGAAACTAGAGTATATGTTTGCTTTGTCGTTTGTTGCGTTCAAATTCCCAAAGAGTTAAAGCGTCGAACTGCTGATAACAAAGTCGGTTGCTATTGAAAACGATAGCTATACAGTTAAAAACAGATTTGCGATATGTTTGGCAGCTTCAAGAATATGTGCAGAGGGTTAAAGAGCAGGAAGAAAGAGTATTTAAACGTAGCATTCGAATGGAATGCACTATTGTTGGGTGGGCGTGGCATTTGCAGTCATTAGCGCATTTACTTTTTGTTAGTTGAAAGCTGCTTGAATTAAGCTCTAATCAGCTTTTGAATCACCCAACACTAGAAAAAGTAAATGCACTTCCTTTTAAAGGTTTCGAAAGCCTTTTGAATTATGCTCTTGGCACATTTTTACACATTTATGTTTCTCCACTCTGGGATCTGTTTTGGGCATAAATTTGAAAACATTTCGCTACTCAACACTTGCTTATAAGAGTGTTAGAAGATTTGCGAATATGTATATATTTGTTTATTACCCAACACCGGAAATAGAAGTTGCACATTTTAAAAGTACTTGCAACGTATTAATAATAGATATATTTAATAAAAATCTTCAGCAGTCGAGGCATCAGTATTCTTTGGATCTGTAAGAAATCCAAATCGAAATTACATTTAATTCATGCCCCATTCAGCTGCAAACCAGTTTACAGTGAGGCGTCGACGTTGAGTCAGTACGATCTGTGTATGGGTCACCTGTGGTCCAAGTGTACTGTTCTGTAGAACTGTCCGGTTCATTGCGAGTTGACCAACTGGTTCCAGTAGATCCAATTATCGTGGTCAAAATAGACGTTTCCTCTGAGGCACCTTTTGCTGAAGACGTCAAAGATTCTGATGAACTGGTTCCAAGTGACCCCGCAGAAGATGATTCCTCAGGCAAAGCAGGCGTTTCCGCCTCCGTGATTACAGACGCAGCAGGTGTAGTCCTTTGCATAGTTGAGCCCGATGTCGAGGGTGTTGACCGTACCGAGGAACTGCTTCCAGGTAACTCTGAAGAATATGATTCCTTCCCTTTATCAGTCACAGCAGTGTTAACAGAAGATTCCCAATTTTGCCTCACAGTTGAGTCCGATGGAGAAAATGTCGACTGTTCCGAGGCATTAGTTTCAGGTAATTCTGTAGAAGATGATTCCTCCCCTTTGTCAGTCACAGCTGTGCTAACCGAAGATTCCGAAATGGACGTTATGTTTCTCAAAGTTGAATCCGACGGAGAAGATGTGGCTTGCTCTGAGGAACTTGTTTCAGGTAACTTCGTAGAAGATATCTTCTGTGCAATATCAGTCGCAGCTGTGCTAGCTGATGATTCCCAAATGAACGTAGTGTCCTCCAAATTTGAACCAATTGGAGAAGATCCGGCTTGATCCGACGAGCTATTTGCAGATTGCACTGAAACAGATGATTCAGTCGCAGCATTGCTAACTGATGATTCCCAAACTGAAGTTGTGTTTTTCATATTTTCAGAATCGGAAGTAGTGTCTTTCACAATTGACACCGATGGAGAATAAGTGACTCGCTCCGAAGAAGTGCTTCCAGGCAACACTGAAGAAGATAATGCCTCCCCTATATCAGTCACAGCAGTGCTAACCGAAGATCCCAAATCGGAAGTATTTTCACCCTCAGTTGAGTCTGTCGGAGAAAGTGTTACCTGTCCGGAGGAACTGTTTCCAGGTACTTTTGAAGAAAACGCTGCCTCCCCTATATCATTCACGGAAGTGGTTCCAGGTGGCTCTGAGGAAGATGATTCCTCCCCTAAATCAGTCACAACAGTGCTAGCCGAAGACTCAGCATTGGAACTAATGTCACCTTTAGTGGAGCCTGTTGGAGAAAGTGTTGACTCTTCTGAGGTACTAGTTCCAGGTACTTCTGAAGACGATGATACCTTCCCTATATCAGTAACGGAACTGATTCCAGGATGATCTGAAGAAGATGATTCCTTCCCTATATCAGTCGCAGCAGTGCTAACAGAAGACCTCGTGCTGGAAGTAATGTCACCCACAGTTGACCCTGTTGGAGAAGATGTTGACTGTTCCGAAGCACTGGTTCCAGGTAGTTCTGTAGAAGAGGATTCTTCTCCTATATCAGTCACAGCAGTGCTAACCAAAGATTCAGAAATGGAAGTATTGTCTTTCACAGTTGATCCCGATGGGAAGGATGTGGTTATCCCTGAGGAACTGGTTGCAGGTAACTCTGAAGTAGATGATTCCCCCCCTATATCAGTCGCAGCGGTGCTAACCGAAGATTCCGATTTGGAGGTAGCGTATTCAGCTGTTGACTCCGATGAGGAAGATGTGGATGGCTCTGGTAAACTGATTCCAGGTAATACTGAAGCAGCGGTGCTAACAGAAGACTCAGGATTGGAAGTAGTGTCTCCCACACTTGAGCCCGACGGGAAAGATGTGGCATGCTCTGAGGAACTGGTTCCAGGTAACTCTGAAGAAGATGATTCCTCTCCTTTATCAGTCACAACAGTGCTAGCCGAAGAATCAACATTGGAAGCAATGTCACCTTTAGTTGACCCTGTTGGAGAAGGTGTTGACTGTTCCGAGAAACTAGTCTTAGGTACTTCCGTAGAAGATGATTTCTCTCCCAAATCAGCCACAGTAGTTCTTACAGAAAATTTCGGATCGGAAGTTACGTCTCCCACAGTTGATCCCGACAGGGAAGATGAGGAACTGGTTCCAGGTAGTACTGAAGAAGATGATTCCTTCCCAGCGGTGCTATCAGAAGACTCAGAACAGGAAGTAGTGTCTCCCACACTTGAGCCCGACGGAGAAGATGTGGCATGCTCTGAGGAACTGGCTCCAGGTAACTCTGAGGAAGATGATTCCTCCCCATTATCAGTCACAACAGTGCTAGCCGAAGACTCAGCATTGGAAGTAATGTCACCTTTAGTGGAGCCTGTTTGAGAAAGTGTTGACTGTTCTGAGGTACTAGCTCCAGGTACTTTTGAAGAAGTTGATTCCTCCCCTATAGTAGTCACAGTAGTGCTAACAGAAGATTCCGAATCGGAAGTAATGCCTCCCACAGTTGTTCTCGACGGGGATGATGTGGCCTGCCCTGAAGAACTGATTGCAGGTTGCTCTGAAGAAGAATATTCCTCCCTTTCATCAGTCACATCAGTGCTAACCCATGATTTCGTGCTGGAAGTAATGTCACCCACACTTGAGCCTGTTGGAGAAATTGTTGACTGTTCTGTGAAACTAGTTACAGGTAGTTGAGAAGAAGGTGATGCGTTCTCTATACCAGTCACAGCAGTGCTAACAGATGATTCCAAATTGGATGTAGTGTCTTTTACAGTTGAGGCTGTTGTAGAAGGTGTTGACTGCTCCGAGGAACTGGTACAAGGTAGTTCTGAAGAAGATGTTTCCTCCCCTATATTAGTCACAGTGGTGCTTACAGATGATTCCGAATGGGAAGTAATGTCAGCCCCAGTTGACCCTGTGGGAGGAGGTGTTGACTGTTCCGAGAAACTGGCTCCAGGTAGCTGAGATGAAGGTGATGGCTTCCCTATATCCGTCGCAGCAGATGATTGCCAAATAGTAGTAGTGTCTTCCACTGTTATGCCCGATAAAGAAGGTGTTAAATGTTCCGAGGTACTAGTACCAGGTACTTTGGAAGAAGACGATTCCTCCCCTGTAGTAGTCACAGTAGTGCTAACCGAAGATTCCGAAATAGAAGTAATATCTCCCACAGTTGATCTCGACGGGGAAGATGTGGCTTGCTCTGAGGAACTGGTTCCAGGTTGTTTTGTAGAAGATGATTCCACCCCTATATCAGTAACAGAACTGATTCCAGGATGATCTGAAGAAGATGATTCCTTCCCTATATCAGTCGCAGCAGTGCTAACAGAAGGCCTCGTGCTGGAAGTAATGTCACCCACAGTTGAACCTGTTGGAGAAGGTGTTGACTGTTCCGGAGAACTGGTTCCAGGTAGTTCTGTAGAAGAGGATTCTTCTCCTATATCAGTCACAGCAGTGCTATCCAAAGATTCAGAAATGGAAGTATTGTCTTTCACAGTTGATCCCGATGGGAAAGATGTTGTTTTCCCTGAGGAACTGGTTGCAGGTAAATCTGAAGCAGATGATTCCCCCTCTATATCAGTAGCGGAACTGGTTCCAGGTTGCTCTGTAGAAGATGATTCAGTCGCAGCATTGCTAACTGATGATTCCCAAATGGAAGTAGTGTTTTCCATATTTTCAGAATCG